AGAGTTAGAGACCATCCAGGACACATTCAGCTCTCGAGTCAATGACTTCACCATGATTCTGTTCACTGTGGACTCAGATCCTACAGATCCAGCTGTTCTTAACTTTGTAGGACAAGACAAAGACATTCAGAACCTCTGTCACACTTATCGAGGACGATATGTTGTTCTCAACATTAAGAACAAACAGCAGATCCCAGAACTGTTGAATCATGTGGAAAAGATGAGACCAGACAAAAACAAACAATTCTGTTACACAACATCAACATTTCTATTTGGAAAAATGGATCAAATTTCACAACAGCAGACAAAAATCATTTCTCTACAGGAGGAGCTTAATGAGATGAGGTCAAAGGTCACAGACACTGGTAAGTAAACTGTAACTGATATTTACTGTTCTCTCAGTGTGATACTCTGCTATGTATTTCATTATCAAGAAAATGGCTCATAAGTCTAATTTAGTCCCATACATACTTCTTTTACAGGTGATGATGAGAACATGAACACAGAGACTCTCAGGATTGTCCTGATAGGAAAGACTGGCTGTGGAAAGAGCTCATCAGGAAACACAATTCTAGGAAGGGAAGAGTTTAAAGCTGAATCAGCCCAAACGTCAGTAACTACATACTGTCAGAAAGCACAGGGTGAGGTGGACGGTCGTCCTGTTGTTGTGGTCGACACTCCTGGTCTCTTTGACACAACTCTGTCAAATGAAGAAGTTTATGAGGAGTTGATGAAATGTGTCAGTCTCCTGGCTCCAGGACCGCATGTCTTCCTGCTGGTGATACAGATCGGCAGGTTTACAGCAGAGGAGAAGGAGACACTGAAACTGATCAAGAAATTCTTTGGGAAGAATTCAGAAAACTTCACCAACATTCTTTTAACCAAAGGAGACGATCTGAAAGCTAAAGAGACCATTGATGAGTACATTGATAAAAAATGTGATAATTCCTTCAAGAAACTGATCTCTGACTGTGGAGGAAGATACCATGTGTTCAACAACCGCGAGGAACAAAACCGCACACAAGTCAGCGAGCTGATAACGAAGATTGACACCATGGTGAAGAAAAATGGTGGCGACTACTACACCAATGAGATGCTGCAAGAGGCTGAAACTGCGATACAGAAAGAAATGCAGAGGATCCTGAAGGAGAAGGAAGAAGAGATGCAGAGAGAAAGAGAAGAACTTGAAAGGAAACATCAGGAAGAAAAGAAGAGCCTGCAAAGAAGAATGGAAGAACAGAGAGATGAAATTGAAAAAGAGAGAAAACAGAGAGAGAAGCAGCTTCAAGAAATGGAGAAAAACATCAAAAGATCTGAGAGAGAACAGAAGAAGAGAGAACAAGAAGTTAGAGACGAGGAAGAAAAGAAAAGAAAAATGCAGGAAGAACGTCAACAACAGGAGTGGAAGAAAGAACGAGAAGCTCTGGAGAAAAAAATCAAGTCAGAATCAAAGGAAAAGGAAATCACTGACAGAAAACTGGAGGAGGTTAAAAGAGAGATGGAAGAAAAACGAGAGATTTGGGAGAAGGAAAGAAAAGTGCAGTTGGAAAAACAGCATCAAGAAGATGAACTGAGACGTCAGAAGGAGAGAGAGAAACTGAAGAAGCTTCAAGAAGAGTACGAACAGGAAAGAGAAAAATATGAAAACAAAAGAAAAGAAGAAGATCGACTCAAAAGAGAACAAGAAGAGAAGGAGCGAAAAGAATTAGAGGAAAACTACAAGAAAGAAATGGGGAACATGAAAACAATTTATGAAGAGGAGGCCAGAAAACAAGCTGAAGAGTTCAATGAGTTCAGAGAAAAATATAATAAAGAACTCAAAACTCTGATGTTAAAACACGATGAGGAGCTGGAAGCTCTGAAGCAACAGCATGAAACAGAAATGCAACAGAAACAGGACGAACACAGCAAAGAGTACAAGACATTAGAAGACCAAGAAAAGAAAAAAGAAGAGGAAATCAAAACTCAAAACTCTGACGTTAAAACACGATGAGGAGCTGGAAGGTCTGAAGCATAAGCATAAAACAGATATGCAACAGAAACAGGATGAACACAGCAAAGAGTACAAGACATTAGAAGACCAAGAAAAGAAAAAAGAAGAGGAAATCAAAACCCTGAAAGAAAAACAACAAAAAGAAATGGATGATTATCTTGACCTCAAGATGCTAAAATTCAAGAAGTGTACCATCAGCTGATGTTCTTCTTTGCTTGTAACAATAAATATTGATATTACTAACTGATCGTTCTGTAACCCCAGCAGTATCTACAGGCCTCCGTCACAGTGCATCATGTAGCTGTGTTCACATTCTTGGTTTCTTTTTTATTTTACATGTTCTCCAGTTTGTTTGATTGTATGTTAGAAGGTTCTTAGCTTTATAAAGTAATAGCAAATAATATGATTCCACAATTATCAGCAGCTGAACGTAAAAAAAAAATTAATCTGCATGTTTTTTTCTGTATTTTGACCTTTTTTATTCACTCTCTCATTTTAAAGGTAGACTCTTTCATGACTAGGAAGTATTTTTTGTGGAGTTTGATTTCATTTTAATTCAGAGTTGCTGTTATGATATAATGACAGAAGCTGTAAACATTTCCATTAACAGTCACAATATCATGTCAAATTCTCATTTTCCATTTGTTGAAGAATTTCTGACATTTTGAATTTATTTGTGATATTTTATGTGTACTTGCAGTAAATTCTTTCCTTTGTGATTAATTCATTGCTGAAACTGTTAAATGTGCTAATCATAATAATAAAATCTAATGGTGAACAATATCAAACGTTTCTCTGAATGCTACATTAAAGCGCATTTTGCATAAATAAAATCTAAAAGGGGAAAAATAAATATTGGAATTGTTGCATTATCTCTCTCTACTACAAGTTTTGAATTTTTCCATGTTTTTCATAAAGGTTTTTGCTTTTAAAGAATAGAAATATGGAAAACCTCAGGAGGCAGTGATGGAGGAATCACTCAGGTGTATCTCCCTCTGTGATCCTGAGGGTGTCCATGCCTTCATCCTGGTCCTACCTGTGGCTCCCCTCACTGATGAAGACAAGGAGAGTTAGAGACCATCCAGGACACATTCAGCTCTCGAGTCAATGACTTCACCATGATTCTGTTCACTGTGGACTCAGATCCTACAGATCCAGCTGTTGAAAATATATTAAGTATAGACAAAGACATCCAGAAGCTTCTTCAGACGTTCAGACAAAGACATGTGGTTCTCAACATCAAAGACAAACAGCAGATTACAAAGATGTTTGAGGTTGTGGACAAAATTAGTGAGCCACAAACAAACCACACTGTTATACAAAGACAACATTTCTACATGCACAGATGGACAAAGTCTTACAACAAGATAAATCCATACAGATGCAACATGATGAACTTGAGAAGCTGAAGACGAACATGATGACTTGTAAGTACTTCAGATTTTAATATTTTTCTGTGTTCAGTGACCCAAAGAGTTTTAATCCAGCAGTATTCAAGTGTTAACTCTGATTGTTTTCATGTTTTAGGTGATGAAGGTGGAGAACAGGACTCAGACTGTCTCAGGATTGTGCTGATTGGGAAGACCGGCTGTGGAAAGAGCTCTACAGGAAACACCATTTTAGGAAGGAATGAGTTTAAGGCTGCATCAAGTCAAATGTCGGTCACAGTTGTAAGAAGGCAGAGGGTGAGGTGGACGGTCGTCCTGTTGTTGTGGTCGACACTCCTGGTCTGTTTGACACAAGTTTGTCCAATGAAGAAGTTCAAGAAGAGCTGGTGAAATGTATCAGCCAGCTGGCTCCAGGACCACATGTCTTCTTGGTGGTGATAGAGGTTGGTAGATTCACAGCAGAGGAGAGAGAAACGATCAGGCTCACTAAAAGATTCTTTGGGAAGAATTCAGAAAAGTTCACCATCGTTCTTTTAACCAGAGGAGATGAACTGGAGCGTCAGGGAGAGTCTGTTGATGATTACATCAAGAACAAATGTCATAATTCCTTTAAGAAGCTGATCTCTGACTGTGGAGGAAGATACCATGTGTTCAATAACTCTGAGAAACAAAACCGCACACAAGTCAGTGAGCTGATAGCAAAGATTGACACCATGGTGAAGGACAATGGAGGACGCTGCTACACCAATGAGATACTGAGGATCCTGAAGGAGAAGGAAGAAGAGATGCAGATGGAAAAGGAAGAGATTGAAAGAAAATATAAGCAAGAAATGAAAGCAATGAAAATAAGAATGGCAGAAGAGAGAGAAAAAATAGAAAAGGAGAGAAAACAGAAAGCTGAAGAACTCAAGGAAATGAAGAACAAAATTGAGGAAGAACAAGAGAAGAAAAAAAAAAAAGAAGAAATGAGAGAAAAGGAGGAAAAGGAAAAGAACACTGGAGAAGAAAGATATCGACAACAATTCAAAGAAGAACTTGAAAAGTTGGACAGACAAATTCATTTGGAAAAAGAGGCAAAGGAAAGTGTCGACAGACAGCTGGAAGAGACCAGAGAAGAGATGCAACGAAAACAAGAAGCCTGGGAGAAAGAACGAAGAGAAGAGCGAGAGAAACAAAGACAAGAAGATGAAAAGAGACGACAGGAGGAGGAAGAAAGAATCGACAAACTGCTGGAAAGTTACAAACAAGAAAAAATAAAATACGAAAACAACAAATTACAAGAGGAACAAATAAGAAGAGAAATGGAAATAACAGAGAACAATCATCAGAAAACACTGGAGGACCTAAAGAAGAGCTATGAAAGAAAAGCCAGACAGAAAGCAGAAGAGTTCAACGAATCCCAAAAGAAACACATGGATGAATTAACCCATATGGAAAAGAAATAGTAAAAACTTATATGTGATTACTCATGAAAGTGGCCACTTTCTCATTACTTTCATATATTGTTTTAGTAAGTATCCAAAACATACAAGTTTCATTATATAATTTTTCAAGGGATCTTATATCTGTTTTCACTCTTGTATGCTTTTCATACAAGTTTCACACAAGACAGATACAAACTTTATAAGATTTATATATATCTTTTCCATATGGGAATGCTCAGCGGGAAGAACACGTGAAGGAAATGAACGACAAGGAAGAATGTTAAAAACAATTAATGAACTGATTCAAAAACTCTTAAGTAAGGAGGTCAGTGACGCGTCAGGCTGCAGCATTTTGTGACGAGAAATGAATGATTTCAGTTGTTTTTCTTTCATTTGTACTGGGAAAAAACGTTAAAGAAGCACCGATTTGTTGTTCTGCATGTTTTAAATGTTTGGGATTTCCTCACAACAGCAAATAATTCTGACTGGGTGTCATCGAACCTGCCTTAAACACAGTGTCGGACTCCAGTCTCACCATTAAACCACAAGTCACTATCCCAACATTACCAAAGCTTCTGACTGGTTAAACTAACTCCAAAGACTGAATAGGTATTCGTTACTAAAAGACTCACGTGGAACCAGCATGTTCCACTCTGTCTCAGCTCATTAATCTGCCACCTGGCAGAGTGGAAGCTATGGTCAGTGTTTTTCCAGGTTCAGCATCACAAGGTTGCGAGTTTGACTCCCTGACCTGGAGTGTGTGGAGTTTGCATGTTTTTCCTGTGTCTGCCTGGGTTTCCTCCCACAGTCCACACACATGCAGTTAGTGGGGTTAATTGGTGATTCTAAATAACCCATGAGTGTGAGTGTGAATGGTTGTCTGTCTCTCTGTGTTACCCTGCGACAGACTGGTGACCTGTCCAGGGTGTACCCTGCCTCTCTATGATAGCTGGGATAGGCTCCACCCCCTGATTAGGATAAGCAGAGGAGAAAAGATGGATGAAGATTCACATCAACTGATTTTTCTCTTTGGTTTTAGTTTGGTGTTTATTGGCATCTTATGCACTTCACGTTCATTCAAAAATAAATAAATAAATCAAATAAACAAATGTACATATTTATATTCAAATATGTAAAGAACAGAATCAGTGTGACTTTGTCATTCAAATGTTATCATTGTGTGTCTGTCTGTGTGTGTGTTGTTTCTGGGTGTTAAATGTTTTATCACAAAGAAAGACAACACTTATTTGGTGATCAGGTACCTTTATTCTTGTCTTTTTTTGAAGTTATGAATCAAATAATTTTTCCTGGGCTGAGCTCTTTAAGTACCAGGATGTTCATTTAAGTTGTTAGTTTTGCTCTGTACTGCACTGTAAGTTGAATCAGTCATTTTAATCTTTTCTGATTTGTTGTTTTCTGTAATGTTTGGTAAAAATCTGGAGAGTGTGTGATTTGATTTCTTGTATTTTATTGGGAATAGTTCTATTTCTATTGTTTATTTGTTTTGGTTGTGTTTTGTACATTTGTGTAACCAAGTTTTATTATAAAATCACTGATTTTTTTAAAATCAGTGACGATATATGCTTGTTTAGTCAAGGGGTCGGCAACCCTGGGCACGCGTGCCACAGCTGGCACGCGAGGGTTAACTGATGGCACGACCATAGCTGGACTGGCCATCGGCATTTGCTCGATGGGCCGATTTTTTTTTTTTTTTTTTTGTAACGGTATAAACAATGAAAGGTGGTGGATTGGCCAGATGCTGGCCGGTGTGTAAAAATAACTCAGTTGTTTGGTGGTGGCTACCACAGAGACGCTGTGTTTAGAAAAAATGCATCTCAGCTGTTCCGATACTCCTGGGATTTAGATAGACTAACTCAGTTGTTTGGTGGTGGCTAAGGCGGAGCTTCCACAGAGGCCAGCAGGTGGATGAGGGAAAGGGGAGGCAGGAGGAGGAGAGACCCGAGGCGGCCGCCGGTCCGAGTGTCAGGTGAACTGAACTTCAGGTAAGAAGTTATGACCTGCAGTCTATCTGGGTCAGATATAAACCAAGTTTAGGTGGAGTTTATTTTCGTTGTGCTGACTTTTTACAGTCAGTTACAATAACTCGTACTGCGTACTAGCTAGCATGACGGAGTTCTATACAGCTGGGTGGGTGCTATGATGTTGATGGTGAACTTTGTTTTGTTCATCAGGTTAGAGTTGCCAACCGTCCCGTAAAAACAAATCGTCTCGTATTCAGAGTTAATATTACGCGTTTCGTATTGAGCTGAAAATAAACGTGATTTCAGAATGGAAAAAAAGACACAAAGCTGGAGTTATTCTGTCTTTACACTGTCAGCTGTTTCTTCTTCTCTCATTCTCTCCCCTCCCTCTCCTGTTGCTACTTCAATCATAACTGATCAATAATCAGTTTTATGGGGCGCCGTTTGTAAAGTGAAACATGCTGAAATTAACGGCAACATTTTTCCACATTTAGCTCAAAACAAGTCATTTTTTACAACATTTAGTAAAATATTTGTAACTTTTCATATTTAAAACAGAATTTTAAATGTTAAATCTAAATGTTAAATATTCAGTCTAAATGTTAAATGTTAAAGGATTAGGTTTTCGGGAAGCTTTTATTTTGGTATTTCCGTTGATCCGTACAATAAATTTGCATGTTAGCCTAAATATTTAGTTTTCTGTAACATTTAGATTTAAATAAATATTGATTTTTAAATATTTAAATGTTGA